ATAGGCGCACGCGCATTGACGTATTAATACGTGAAATTAGCAGAGAAATGAAATATTCTGTGTGAAACAGACAAGTGAAGTAAATGGTGCTTTTATTATCAATTTGACACTAGTTGACTTGACAACAACCAAATACAGCATAATAACGACCACGAAAAAAACACAATAAAACCTACAAAATCAAACAAGCGAACTTTATTCAAGGCGATAATGTAAAATTGTCGCTAATTAAAAATAAAAGGGAACAGAAAATACCGTCGTGTCAACTTTTTCTATGAAAAACTTCTGCGCAACATTTCGGCGCACTTTTAGTACTAAATTTAGTAGAAAATAGAACAAGATCTAATTAATTAATGACTTTTTTTAGTACTAAATTTGCCGTTTGGGTTCTGGTAAAGGATCCTGAGGTGCGAATTTCATAATTTTAGCATTAATATATTGAAGTAACTTACTTTTTATAATATTTTAACTGAAATTAAATATGGAATAATACGTTTCATTTGCTATTTTTATTTATATTATATTAAAATGCAATATTTTGACTGATTTAGGGGCCTATTCAGTAACTCTAAACGACGTCGTTAATAGACGATAATCGTTCACAGACGACTTTTCTTATTCAGTAGACAACGATTGTCGTTGAAAATAGACAAACATGGTTGTAAAATTGTCGTTCATCAACGATAGCCAAAGAGCTGTCGTTAATAATATGAAGTGTCGTTATAGTGATTTTTGAATTCCCTCTCATTTTTTATTGTGAATCAGGATATGTTCTAAATAATAAAAACACTTTTTTACAAATTTTACAACTAAATTGCTATATACCTAATACAAGTAAAATTTGTAAGGAATTTTTTTCTAATTTATTTAATTATTTTAAAAATAAATCTGATTCAAAGTTAGGATTGCCCATTCTTATTAACAGTGATGTTCCTAAAGTAGCACTGCGAAACTGTAACAAAACCTATATTATGGAAGTACCTATAATACTTCTCCGTAACCTACACAAATTTGGTTTGTTTTTCAAATCCAATGAATACAACTTGTACTGTTCTCGAGTTGTTTTTTTGTTTTTTTTAATATATCCATACTCATTTAAATAAACCCTACATACAATATGACCAGCAAAAATGGCCCGCGAGAAACAGAATTCCTACGAATCGAGAATCGACCCCCTGGTGTGGTAGAATTTTTATTTTACGTTCAAAAAAATGTCAAATATACCGGGTGTTCAAATTAAAGGGTTACAGTTAAATACCGCCTTTTATAAAGAAATCAAAGTTTAATAATTTTTTGGGTAAAACATTTTAGCTAAAATTGTTTTTTTATAGCAAACCGCATAATATGGCCAACTTTTTTCGCGCAGCAAAATTTTCAAGTAGATGTTACTCAATAAGTAGAAATCCAATAAAAAAATGTTTCCTTTAGAAGTTTGAATACCTATGTAAAAAAATAAGGTTCCAATTTGAAAAAAAATCCACCTCGATATGGCCATATTATGGTCAGCTATAAAAAAAATAATTTAGCCAAAATGTTTCCCCTAAAAAACTATAAAACTTTTGTCTGATGCTTTTTTTTATAAAATGCATATTTTTGGCGATATTTAACTGTAAAACTTTAATTTAAACGCCCGCTATAATCATCAACATACGTTCTTTTATCACAAAACAAAACACTAAATTATAATACCAACTTACTAGAAATCATCGTTCAGATTTGGTAACTAGAAACAACGTAACGACTTTGTTATTGAATAGAGTTTCAAAAATTATCGTTATAAAAGTCGTTGGTTGAACTGTCGTTAGCTTAACGATGTCGTCCATAAACGATAAATTACTGAATAGGGCCCTTTACCTAACTTTTCATCATTTCTTTCCATAAAACCTAAAATAAAGTGATTCATGAAATTGTCAGTTCTTGACACATAAGGTCCTCGAGTTTGCAACGTTGCCATACTATATTGTTGATTTTTATCACTGATAATTTCCAAGTTTAAGATTTCTGTTTGAATGACAAGGAAATAATTTATAGGTGAAAATATAATGTGTTATGTGAGACTTTTCATTTCAATTTGAGCTGCGTCCAGGCCGTTGGAGTCTATGCCGGTAGGCGTAGCCAGGTATGGATTAAAATTTTTTGGTGGCGGCGCAGCCGCTACCCAACGAGAAGTCGTTTTTTCCGTTTTGAGTGACAGAAAATTTAAAAAAAGTTGTCTAGGTATTACATATTAAGTGATTTAATTAATTTAATTTTTTAATTTTGTATGTAGTTTTTTTGAGCTGCATTTTTAAAATTAATTTGGTTGATATATTAATTTTTTCATTTTATATACGATTATTACCGTAGGTACTTATCTTTTTGAACCAAACGAAAAATGTATGATTTTTGATTATAATGTGTTATGTGAGACTTTTCATTTCAATTTGAGCTGTGTCCAGGCCGTTGGAATCTATGCCGGTAGGCGTAGCCAGGTATGGATTAAAATTTTTTTGGTGCGGCGGCGAAGCCGCCACGCTAGCGGAAGTCGTTGTTTCGTTTTGAGTGAAAGAAAATTTAAAAAAAAGTTGTCTAGGTATTACATGTTGAGTGATTTAATTAAATTCACTTTTTAATTTTGTATGTAGTTTTTTTGAGCTGCATTTTTAAAATTAATTTGGTTGATATATTAATTTTATTTATCTACGATTATTACCGTACTTATCTTTTTAAACCAAACGAAAAATTTATGATTATAAATTTAAATAATCCTTAAACTTATAATTTTATTAACAACTTGGCAACGTTGTTATTTTTAAGACAGAAACGTCAGAAACTGTCATTTAGAGTAATTGTTTTGTGATTATAACCTGTAAAATTGGGATCTTAATTCAATTTTTTTCGAAAAATACTGCTTCATCCATAAATTTTTTTTCAAAAATTTACTATAGAAACTAGTTACTTTTGAGTGTTAAAAATTTTTTTGTGAATTTCGCACCTCAGGATCCTTTACCGGACCCGCTGTTTGCAACGTGAATTTTTTTAGTACTTAAAAAATGCATTAATTTAGTTCTAAATTTAGGGGCCTATTCAGTAACTCTGAACGACGTCGTTAATAGACGATAATCGTTCACAGACGATAATCGTTCACAGACGACTTTTCTTATTCAGTAGACAACGATTGTCGTTGAAAATAGACAAATATGGTTGTAAAATTGTCGTTCATCAACGATAGCCAAAGAGCTGTCGTTAATAATATGAAGTGTCGTTATAGTGATTTTATTTTGCATTCCCTCTCATTTTTTATTGTGAATCAGGATGTGTTCTAAATAATAAAAGCACTTTTTTACAAATTTTACAACTAAATTGCCATATACCTAATACAGCAAGTACAATTTTTAAGGAATTTTTTTCTAATTTATTTAATTATTTTAAAAATAAATCTGATTCAAAGTTAGGATTGCCCATTCAACCATTTACTATTGGATTCTTATTAACAGTGATGTTCCTAAAAGTAGCACTGCAAAACAGTAACAAAACCTATAATACTTCTCCGTAACCTACACAAATTTGGTTTGGCTTTCAAATCCAATAAATACAACTTGTACTGTTCTCGAGTTGTTTTTTGTATTCTTTTGGAATAGTTCTCAGTTTTTTTTAATATATCCATACTCATTTAAATAAACCCTACATACAATACGACCAGCAAAAATGGCCCGCGAGAAACAGAATTCCTACGAATCGAGAATCGACCCCCTGATCGTGTTGTAGGTTAAGAATAATAATTAATATATTCTGAAAAACAAATGAATATATCTACTGGTAGAATTTTTATTTTACGTTCCAAAAAAATGTCAAATATACCGGGTGTTCCAATTAAAGGGTTACAGTTAAATACCGCCTTTTATAGAAAAAAACGTTTTATAGTTTTTTGGGTAAAACATTTTGGCTAAAATTGTTTTTTTATAGCAAACCATAATATGGCCAACTTTTTTTCGCGCAGCAAAATTTTCAAGTAGATGTTACTCAATAAGTAGAAATCCAATAAAAAAATGTTTCCTTTAGATGTTTCTTATTTTTTTATTAACTCGCAAGAATACCTATGAAAAAAAATAGGGTTCCAATTTGAAAAAAAATCCACCTCGATATGGCCATATTATGGTCAGCTATAAAAAAATTAATTTAGCCAAAATGTTTCCCCTAAAAAACTATAAAACTTTTGTCTGATACTTTTTTTTATAAAATGCATATTTTTGGCGATATTTAACTGGAAAACTTTAAATTAAACACCCGGTATAATCATCAACATACGTTCTTTTATCACAAAACACTAAATTATAATACCAACTTACTAGAAATCATCGTTCAGATTTGGTAACTAGAAACAACGTAATGACTCTGTTATTGAATAGAGTTTCAAAAATTATCGTTATAGAAGTCGTTGGTTGAACTGTCGTTAGCTTAACGATGTCGTCCATAAACGATAAATTACTGAATAGGGCCCTTAGTACTTAATTTAGTATTGTGACATACAGCCTTAAGACTTAATAGGTCTTTTCCTTTGCATCGAAAGTGTAGCACTGAGCTACACCACTTCTGAAAATATCGTTCCATTTATACAAATTGTATGGATGGAACGATATTTTCAGAAGTAACGTAGCTCAGTGCTACACTGTGGATGCAAAGGAAAAGACCTATTAGTAACCGTAAAAATATAGCGGTTAGTAAATTGACGTTTGAGTCACCATTTTCAGGTAACAACGTCCATAATTCAACCGATTTTTCAGGAATGTCAATTAGAGCAGTTAGTTTTGGTGTTTTGGACCGAGTATCTAACCACTGAACTGTAACTGTATTATAGAGTTCAGTGCGTTCAGTGAGAGTAACCGATATTTCGGTTAATAACGGACCATACTCTTGGATTCATCACATGTTCTATGTTTTGACATCATGACTAGTGTCATTTGTCGTGTGTGTTTCAGATTTATGTTCTGTGGAGGTGAAATTGAAATACAATTTTCAAAATGGCAGATGTAGTGGATGATGTGATAATGGATTCTGATGAAAACGAAGATATCATTCCTAAAAGTACTGAAGAGTAAGTGCTATTTTACCATTACATTTGATAGTGTTTTATTCTTAATTTATCGATTGCTAATTATTAGTTCAATATTTGATTACAAAAACAAACTAGGTAGGTAAATGTAATGCTCTATATACTTGTATTTTTAAATCTACACCAGTTAGGATTTACAGTTAATACATTTTTAAAACTCATTTATCATTTTAATTCTTTCTTGAATTAACATAAAAAGTGCCAGTAAGTAGGTACATTTATGATATTTTCTAACAAAGGTCATTCAGGTTTTGTTTCTTCATTTCACTGGATGATAAGTTCACAGTTAGTTGCTCTGATCCTACACAAATGCTTTTATTTGGAAACATGTTCATTTTTCAACTGCAAACATACCTAAATGATTCAAAATACATTTTAACAAAAAATATACTTAGGATGAAATTTGATGTAAATAGATTATAAATTATCTCATATAGGTATTTTAATAATATATTTATGTTGTCATTATGACTAAGTGTTTAATTTTTTTTAACATTACCATCAAATTCCTGTCAATGGATGAAATCCACAAATGTATAATTATTTAGTTTAACTATTTCATGGTAAATGTATGCTATTGTTCTACAGTTGTTGTCACACTTCACAGTTATAAAATAATAATAATAATAATAATTGGTAATAATAATTGTCATTTTAAACTGAATATTCAGTCCAATAGGCTATTGAACGAATTCCTGCCTATTGTGCTGTATACAAAAATTGTGGTTATAAATATTTTATATCCCAAAAAAATTATTTGAATGAGAAAAGAGTAATAATTTATTTATTAATAAAATATGATATTCATTGTATATTATGCATCTTCTCTATTGTCGTTTGTCTTGGGTGCTGGGATCTGGGGTAGATGGTGGAGTTCCTTTCAACATGGTATCTTGATATTTTTTGTATGTTTCCTGGTTTCTGTACAAATATCTTGGTTAGGTTGTTCATGTAACTCTCTGGGTTCAATGCTGGTCAGTTGGTACAACAACCTATTGGAGGAATTATGTATTAGGTTATTCAGATTTACGAATTTTTTGTTATATTTTGGTAAATATCTAGTTTGATCTCTTTGATTATGGAAAAACTAAGCATATGTACTTACTTGTAGGTATCGCTATTGTAAACAAAAAACTTAAGCTCCAAATGAATAGTAATTAGTAATGTCACAATTTTTTTAAATAAAAATTTGCCATTTTTTAATTAATATTACCTAACTATTAAAAGTTATAGCAATTTAACATTAAAATTTAGGTTTGGTAATTATTTAATTTATAACTACAAATAATTTATAATGTAAAACGTAAATAATCACCCAACCCGAATTTTTATGCTAAATAACTATAACTGCATATTTGATTATAACTTTCAACAAAAGTAACTTATCAAAAAATTGTTTATGAAAAATTAAAAGATTGTTTGCAGGGGACAAAATGGGATGATGTGCTCAATTCCTGGGACTCTGACAGATGTGCCAGTATTTTTGTAGATAGGTTTAAATGCATATTAATAGGATGCACAAAAACAAAAATAATTACTTGTAAAAAGAAGATAATAAAACCATGGATAACAATGGGAATTCTAACATCAATTAGGAATAGAAACAAATTGAAAAGGGAATGTACATATAATAATAATTTAATTTTGTTGCAAAGATATAATAACTATAGATCTATGCTGTCAAAACTGATTAAAAATGCTAAATATTCTTTTTATAAAAAACTTGCTCAAAAAAATTTGAAAGACCCAAAAAAACTATGGCGAGTAGTTAGAGAAGCCACAAATGATCATAACACCCAATCAGAAATAAAAAGTATAATCAGTTCCGATAACATAGAGCTCTCAAGTAAAAAACAAATAGCGGATGAATTTAATAATTATTTCTCAAAAATAGGTAAAAAACTTGCACAAAAAATTAAAAATTCTGTGGTACTAGTAGAAGAGCAGGGCATCCAAAGGGTAACAAAATCTTGCTACTTGAATCCAACACTGAGCTTATCAAGGAAATAAACAACCTGAAAAACAATGTAAAGGGAGGAAAAGACTGTATTAGTTCCGATCTTGTAAAAAATATAAAGAATACTTGATAAAGCCATTATCACACTTAGTAAATGTAGTTTTCAGTACTGGAATTTTTCCCGAAATCTTTAAGGCAGCAACTATAATTCCACTATATAAGCAGGGAGACAAAAAAGTACAAATAATTATAGACCCATTGCCTTAACGAGTACAATAAGTAAGCTACTTGAAAAATGTATTAAACTTAGAATGTTATCCTTTTTAGAAAAAAATAAATTACTAAACGAAAATCAATTTGCGTTTCGGGAAAATTCCAGTACTGAGAATGCACTATGTAGAGTTACTGAGACAATTTTAGGGAAACTGGACAAAGGGAAAAAGTTATAGGTATCTTTCTTGACCTTCAAAAGGCCTTTGACACTGTGGCACACCAAATTCTACTAAAACGTTTAAACTGCATGGGTATTAGAGGAACACCAAATAACCTAATCAAATCCTATTTAGAAAGAAAGCAATGTACAAAAATCATAAATGAGGTTAGTGAAGAAATGGAAGAATTTGGTGTGCCACAGGGGACAGTCCTTTCAACGTTATTATTTAATATCTATATCAATGACATGATGTCAGTTTTGGCTGAGAATGGCGTGGTGATCTGCTTTGCCGATGACTCTGGTATACTGATTTGGGGTGACGATTGGGAGAGTGCAAAGGATCGTGCAGAGAAAGCAATGCAAAAAATCAAGAGATGGCTAGACAATAGCCTACTATCCTTAAATGTCAACAAAACAAAATTTGTCACTTTTGCTCTCTCCCCACGCTCACTACCAGAATTTGAAAACCTAAAAATACATAACCATGACTGTGATCTAAACCAGAATTGTGAATGCAATAAATTGATTGAAAGGGTGACATGTATAAAATACTTAGGGGTTCTTGTAGATCAAAATTTTACTTGGAAAGAACATATTACCTATGTGACAAGCAAAATAAGGAAATTAATATATAAATTTTATGAGTTACGCCATGTCTTGAGTTTTAGCACATTAAAGATGGTGTATTATGCACTGGCTGAATCAATTTTGAATTATGGGTTGGTGGTTTGGGGTAGTGCCGGAGTGACGGTTTTAAACAAACTACAGGTTGCACAAAAATATATCATAAAAATTATGTTATTTAAAAATAAAAGGTTTCCTACTGAATTGCTTTTCAAAGAGAGTCAGTTATTAGATATTAGACAGTTACACCTTAAAGCAGTAGTTAGATTCATGTTAAAATTTTCCTACTATAAGGAATCCATAAGCCATGGGCGTAACACATTTATCTTTACAAAAAAATATCCTTTAGGACAGATGTTCACAACTTAAATTTAAGATTCAAAGGTCTACTATCACCACCTCAATTTAGATCCGAACTATTTAGACGTTCGTTTTCATATCAAATTTTTCAATTGTATAATTCTGTTCCTATTATATTTAAAAATCTTAACCCTCTTACTTTCAAATGTAAATACAAAACCTTGTTATTTAGCAAGCAATGCACTTAAATCGTAATTGTTCTACCTGTCCCCTCTAAAATATAAAAATATAAAGATATAGTTTTTTGTTTTTATTTTGATTTTTCAATATGTTTAGATTTAGTTCATATACCTACTCGTATTTACATATGTATATAAACACCATCATTGGGTTAAGTGGAAGAACATTTTCCAAGTGTTTTTTTTTTAACTTTGGAAAGTGAACTTCGCCTTTTGTTTTCTTTAATAAACTATTAGTAATATTAATCTTGTAAAATGCTGTAATGAAAACAATAAAGACCTTTATTATTATTATTATTATTAAATGCAGCTCAAAACAATGTCGCACGCCAAAACCCCAAGCACACCATTTGCCAAAATCATATTTATTGTCTTGGTCCAAAAATCTTTAACTGCCTTCCTAATGATATTAAAGTAAAACCATATTCTAAGTGTAAAAAAAAATAAGACAGTGGATACTCCAAAGCAATTATGTAATTAATTATATAGTTTAATTTTAAGTTTAATTTTAAATAATATATTTCACAATTATTGTTCATATATATATATACTTATTTTACTATCTCCTATCGAATTATTGTTACCACATTTCTACTACTTTAGTACAAAAATCTGTTATAATTAGCTTAAATAAGAATATATTTTTTTATTATTTAAAAAAAAATAAAAAAAAACCTCAAAGATACATGTATAAGAAAAAGAGTGCACACACAGTACTTTAAGTACAATCGTGCACTAGAGTAGAAGTTTTCATTTTAAATATTATTTAGGAATTAAGTAGTTAAGTAATAGAGTGATTTATTTTTCTCTTGTTCCTATAATTAATTATATTACTGTTTAATATAAATGTAAACTACTACATAAATAAATTAATAACTTTATAACATTCTTTTGTATTGTAAAAAATAAAGGTACTTTACTCTTGAATAAAATTCATATTTTTTTGACAAAACTCGTATAGGGCATAAAAAAAATGATATCTGTAAGTTTTGGACCATGCAGAACTTTTAATCTAGAATAAAACTTTTCACAAAAACAATATTAAAAAGGTTTTCCATATGGTTCCAACTTAAGTAGACACACTTTATGACAAATACTTACAAAAAAATGTCGAAAATGTTTGGGGGAATAAAGAAAAGTAATTTAAACGTATTTGTTAGATATATCATTAATTTTATTGCACAAATTGATAACCGAAACCAAAAATGTATTATTTCAACCATTTTTTTGGAAATTGGGGTAAATATACCTATAATAATAATAATAATAACCTACCTATTTATAGTAGATTATGCGGGGTCCGTACCACTAACAGATTCTTATGATAAGTATTTATCCCAAGTAGGTACCTGTGACCCTAATTAGACAGCTAAATATTGTAATTCCCCATAAACGAGAAAAACATTGCTAAACAATTGGTAGATTGCCT